AGATCTTTGAACTGATCTGTTTTTATTGTGAAATTGCTTAATTCTATCATCTTGATTATGTTGTTTAGCTCGCATATAATCCTGTATTCTAGCATCACCGTGCCGATGCTTTTATTTTCAGGTATGCCTGGTGCTGGTCCTAACATGCCTTCTTTTGCTGTTCATGCTGAACCAGGGTTGATCAATTGGCTTATAGGTAGAGTGGGGGATATGCTAGGCAATAGTGCCACAGATTGTTTGATCACATTTCTGTTGCCGGTGACCTCATAGATGCCAGTCCAGAGTTGCTATATCTATTCAAAGTCTATCCCATTCAGCACAGTGATACAGCCACATAATAGAGTGGAGGGTATCCTCACTAAGAAGGTGGGGCATGTCTCAAAGATGTGGTGGTCAGTCTTATTGATACTTCTCATGAACAGATGCACCTGCACAAGGCAAATAGATGCAGTCAGGTTTACACCATGCATCATCCTCTTGTTGATTCCCTCACTTCCTGCTGATTCAGCTTGGCACAATGCCATGTTAGACTCAGGCAGCTTGGTCAATAGTGGTGCTACAGAGGCACTTCTGGTGGTAAACATTGAATTCCCACACCTAGAGTATGTTCTGTTCCTTTGCCACTTCTCAGGGCTTCCAGAGTGAGGAGGGGAGGAGTGGATAGTGGTTGGACAAGGAAGTTGGGGGTGTGTCATTCATGATGGTCAACAGGAGGTTTCCTTGCCCATGTTTGATCTGAGACTTCACAGGTTTGGAGTGAATGTTGAGAACTCCCCAGGGTAAACCCCTTGTTACTGTATATCACAATAGGACATTGTAAGGTATGATTCGGAGAATGATGTAAAGCTGATGCTTTAGTAATCTCAATTTTGGCACTAAGCACCAAATGATGTTAATGAGGACCTATCAATAAGGCATTGTGTGACATTGTTGTTTCTGGTGCCTTAGCCAATGCCTGTGATCGTTGCCTTGTTCACTAATGATCTGACCAGTTTCATTCCTTTCTTTTAGTTGTGTAAAATTACTACATAACCTGAGTGAGTTGCTAGACCATTTCCGAGGGTGGTTAAGAGTCAACATCTTTGCTGTGGATCTGAAGTCATATGTAGGTCTAGTGAGAGTGGTAACACTCTATTAACCTTCCTGATTTCCTGCTTACACGATACTCAGCCTAAGATGGCCATACCCAGTCTAGGATTGTGATCAGTCTCCATCTAAAAGTCCTTGTATTGTCTCCCTCATGAAGAATTTCAGCTTCTCTTGTAGAATTTAGGCTGCTCGTCATCTGGCATCAACACATAACCAAACCAGCTTGCGTGGACATGGGTTTCACCATTCAAAAATGGTATATGTTTGCAGAATCCTCGTCACCTTTGTTAGAATCCCAGACCAGCCCACATTATGTTATGAACTACCTAGGGAGCAGTAACGTCTTTAAAAGCAAATGAAGTTAGAGATCAGGGGACTTGTGAAGAAAATGAAGGCACATGATTCCATAGTTTTGAAGAAACAACAATGAACTCTTCAATGTTAGAATAGTAATACAATTTGCAATACATATACAACTAGTATTCAAAAACCTAGCATTAATGTGTGGTGAATATGGGTAACAGACTTTTGATTAAACACTCCACATTTCTATTTGATGCGCACTGTAATTAAAATAACTCTCATAGTTTTCTTAGCAATTCCCCAGACATTATTAACATGTTGGGTCATCAAATCCTATTAAACTTCAAGGGAATCACACTTTTTCATTTCCATTTGCTTTTTCTGATCTGGCTTTGAAACTCCCTCTCAAGCCACTCTGGCATGAACTACTTGAATGACTGCTCAAGCTTTAGTTCATCAGCTTCCTTTCCTGGATCTGTTCTTCCATGGATCCTGGAAACTTTTCTCCCATAATTTGCTATCTGTCACAATTCCAGCTTTTCACTGACCGGTAGCTTTGCCAAGCTAGACCTATCCTGAGCTCTAATTTTAATTCCATCAAGCGAATACTACTTGTGGTCTGAATAACCCCTAACGTGCTCAGACATTTCAGGAACCCTGACTTCAATACTTAGGCAGATGTTTTAGGAGTTATTAGACAGCTGTGTTCAATATCTAGCTGCTTTTGACATCTCACTGAAACCCCTACATGCAGACTGTTGTTCAATTGCCTAGCATACAGCTAAAAGCAGCACTGGCTCCTTCTGGTGTTCACTTCATCTACCTTTCTCACATACTCATTGACTTCAAACCTCATTGCCTACCGTCTGTTAAATTCTCCTCGGTGACCATTGAAGTCTCACATGAGCTATTGAAAACATTACGACTAACCACTCGCCTATTTGAGGATAGAATTCCATCTAACTAATATTTTGAATAGCCAAAAGAATCAACCCCTGGCAATGATTATGCCCTTCCTGTTATATTCTCACAGACTGTTTGTTTGCTTGCTACACGAAAGATTTATTAAATTTATTATGTTGGATGGTTTGGATCTGCCTGTTTTATCTTCAAGTAACAAACCACTGCAATAGCTGTTCATTTGCTTCTCAGCTTCTAGATATAGTTTCTCTCATCTTCAGCCTACCTATACTGCAAAACTGAGGTCGTTGTCTGAGTCCTGGTTGCTTTGTGTCCTTTCATATGATTCCAACCAGTTTCAGCCAAGTTTTGGCTTCCACTTTGAGTTTTGGTCCTTGTTTCCTTAGAAACTGACAGATTATTCCGAACTCAGCTTCCCTTTTCAATGTGGCTGTGTATCAAAAGAAACAAGCTTTGGAACCACCAATTCTATGACAAACATAATTGGCTCAAGCAAGTGAAACGTTGATGGAATAAGGAAGATAAAAGGGTAGTCTGTGATAACCGACAACAGGAGGGTTTCATGACAGAAGTTTTATTTTCATTGCCACTTGTTTCAACTTTAGGGCAATGAATCATGAAAGATGTCTGGATGCGGTTCGACAGCAGCTGACCAAGTGCATAGCGAAGGAGTAAAGAAATGAACTAAAACCGAACCAACAAAAAAGGACTTAGTCATAGAGATGAACAGCATGGAAACAGACCCTTTAGACCAACTCGTCCACGCGACCAGATATCCTAAATTAATCTAATCCCATTTGTCGGCATTTGGCCCGTATCCCTTTAAACCCTTCCTATTCACATACCCATCCAGATGCCTTTTAAATGTTGCAATTGTACCATCCTCCTCCACTTCCCTGGCAGTTCATTCCTTACACGCAGCACCGTCTGCATGAAAACGTTGTCCCTTGTGTCCCTTTTAAAATTCCACCCCCCCACCCTCAAACCTATTCCCTCCAGTTTTGACCTCACCTACTCTGGAGAAAAGACCTTAGCTATTCACCCTGTCTATACCCCTTGTGATTTTATAAAACTCAGTAAGGTCTCTCTCGGCCTCCGACATTTCGGGGGGGAAGAAAGCTCCAGCCTATTCATCCTCTGCCTTAAACCCTGCAATACTGGCAACATGCTTGTAAATCTTTTCTGAACCCTTTCAAGTTTAATATCTTTTCTATCGTCGGGAGACCAAAATTGAATGCAGTATTCCGAAAGTGGCCCATCTAGTGTCCTGTACAGCTGCAACATGACCTCCTAACTCCTGTATTCAATGTTCTGACCAATAAAAGCAAGCGTACCAAACTCCTTCTGCATTACCCTGTCTACCTGTGACTCCCCTATGAACATGCTCTCTAATGTCTTTTTGTTTGACAACACTCCACAGGCTTTTACCATTAAGTGTATAAATCTTGCCCTGATTTGCCCTACCAAAATGTAACACCTCACATTTATCGAGATTAAACTCCATCTGCCACTTCTCAGCCCATATGATCAAGGTCCCTTTGTACTCCGAGGTAACTTCCTTTGTCCACTACACCACCAGTTTTGGTGGCCTCGACAAACTACTAACCATACCTCTTATATTCGCATCCAAATCATTTATACAAATGACAAAGCAGTGGACCCAGCACCAATACTTGCAGCACACCGCTGGTCACAGGCCTCCAACTTAAAACGATATGGGCACATGTGGCACTGTGGCTCAATGCTTAGCACTGCTGCCTCACTGTGTCAGGGACCTGGGTTTGATTCCAGCCTTGGGTGACCACGTGGATTTTGCACATTCTCCCGGTGTCTGCTTGGTTTCTGACAGATGCTGCACTTCCTCCCACAGTCCAAACATGTGCAGGATAGGTGGATTGGGCATGCTAAATTGTTCGTAGTGTCCAGGCTTGTGCAGACTAGATTGATTTGGTGGCCTTGATGTGTGCTTTTTGCAGCAGAAGAGAATGTGCTTCCTGTCTTTTCCTCGACCTTGGGAGCCCATGAATTGTACAAAAATGGACTTTGTCTTAATTTTTTTTTTATATATGTTTTCAGTAATTATTGTATATGGAGCTTACACCTTTCGCTGGAATTTTTGTAAAAGTAATAGTGACAATAAATTTCTTCTATTTGATTCTATTCAGATTTTCCTTCCCCAAAAGATATTAGTGAACCAGATGGGTTTGTGACAATAATGGTTTCATGATCTCCCATTTTTTAAATTTGATTTTCAGTTTCACCATCTGCCGTTTGTGATATTCAAACCCGGAACATTAGCCTGAGCCTCAGGATTATTTGGCCTAATGGCAGTACCGCAACGACACCACCTCTGACACACTTTTTTTCAGACTTGTTTCAGCATGGTCTTTTTATTGGTCTCTGATTATTTATAATCATTTTGTCATTTTAAGTTCAGGTATATTTTAATGAGATTGCGTAGCTAGCACATTGCCCTGTCTATAATGACCTGAGTTACGCTCATGGATCACACTCCAGGCATTTTCCACTGATATTCCTCAATTTCAAGAGTTACATAAAATTTATTGGTGTAATTTCACTTCAGGAAATGACCAAGGAGGAGATGATGTAGATATTTTGGATTTCTCATGCTTTCTCATCCAGATTCTGGAAGATGAAATATTTTTTCTTCTCCTCTGTCTCTACAGGATAAAAGGTCTTACTTGGATATAATCCATAGCTACACAGAGGTCCATGGCACTGTTCATGGAACTAGTACACTCCACCTTCCTAGCTATGTGAAAAACCATGGGATACTGAGTGGACGTGATCTACAACTTCTCTTAAGGGAAACAAAGGTACAAAGTGTGATTTGCTTCTCTGCTTTAGAATACAAATGTACATACAAGGAACAACATATTATGAAGACGTAATATTCTGATAACCTGTTTGTGCTAATCCAAACTGAGTTCTAACGATCATTATTTTGAAATTTACAAAATTATTTAAAGAGGAGTAGATTGGTAGATGTAAAGGCAAAACAACCCACATCTGGAAGTGATGGAAGGTACTGCCTTTTATTTTTTCAATTTCTGTTTGATTTTATAAAATAGCTTTTTTTCTAATTTGGAAATGAGTTTGTTCATCTTGATTTGTATAGAGTTTCAGATATTAATTTGTGACTTGTTGGCAATATTTTTGTTTTTAAAAAACACTGCTTTGAGAAAACACATGTTCTATTGTTAACTGCAGGGAATGCCTCAGTCTGAGCTGATTTTCTTTTTGTATTTAGATGTTCTCAGTATGAAGCTGTAAGTCAAAAATACTGTGCAGTAATGAAGCTGTTCAACTGTCATATCAAGTTAGATATCTGTAACAAGGTCAAACCAAGTTAAACACCACTGTGCTATTATGACATAATAAAATTAATACCATACACAGGATTTCCAACTTCAGTAGGAATGTACAAATTTTCATTTCTGTTCCATTGTCCTGTTTTACTGAAACCCACACAGACTCTACATATCGTAATCTCTGTCAAAATTATTCAACCACTACTATTTCTTTCAGGGAAAAAACACCCTATTTTATGTTTTAAAAAAAAAACTATTTCACATGCTAGATATTCAAAAGCAGAAAATGCTGGAAAGCTATAATGAGATTGCAGACATGCTGAGCGAATAGATGCAAGCAAAAGTTCCAATAAGTTATGATCTCAGTCAAGACCAGCAATTTTTTCGTTTGGAAAAGAAAGCCAAAGTCCCAGTTATTTACGGCAGGAACTAATCCACAAAGTTCCTCTGTTCAAAATTATTTTTTTTTACTGTATGAGCAACCACCCAGTCTGTAAAATGGAGAATCAACATGCATTAAACATGAATTAACAGGCAGGTTGCTGTCAATTATAAATTGTCTATTAAATGGAAGATACAACTAAGGCAGATCTTAAAAATTATTTTGCTATCCATTCAGCATGTATAGAAACATACAAAATAGGAACAGGATTAGGGAGGAATTTCCTTACCCAAAGGGTTGTGAATCTGTGGAATTCCCTGCCCAGTGAAGCAGTTGAGGCTACCTCATTGAACATTTTTAAGGCAAAGATAGATTTTTTGAACAGTAAAGGAATGGCAGAGCAGGCTCAGTGGGCCAGATGGCCTACTCCTCCTCTTTCTTACGTTCGTGTGCTCTGGAACATTTGACCCTCTTAAGCCTGCTCTCTTATTCAGTATGATCCTTAGTCCCTTATTCTGGATTTGCCGCATACTCTTTGATCCATTTAACCCTAAGAACTGCATCTCCTCCTTGAAAATATTCAGTGTTATGGCTTCAACCACATCTGGCAGAGGATTGCAGACATTCAACACATTCTTGGTGAAGTATTTTCTAATCTCCGTCCTAAACAGCTACCACATTTCCAGAGACTCTGACTCCTGGTTCTGGACTTCCCAGTCATCGGAAACATCCTGCTTTTAATCTGCCTGGTCTTGTTGGAATTTTAGTTTCCTGTGAGATTTCTTCCCTCATTTTTGTAATCTCCATTGAATATAGTCAAAACCAATCCAGTCTGTTGTCATATGTCAGGCCTGCCATCCTATGAACAGTCTGGTAAATTTTTGTTGCGCTCCCTGTGTGGCCAGAACATCTTCCTCAGATAAGGAGACTAAAACTGCATGCAATATTCCAGGTGTGATCTCACCAAGGTCTGTACAGTTGCAGCGAGGCAAATCGTCTCACTATGAATGCCACAATAGCATTTGCCTCTTTCACTGCCTGCTACACCTGCATGCTTACTTTCTGCAACTGTTTTACGATGGTGCCTAGGTCTTGTTGCACCTCCTCCTTTCCTAGTCTTGTGCTATTGAGGAGATAATCCACCTTCCAGCTTTTGCTACCAAAGTGGATAACCTCATTTATCCATGTTATACTTCATCTGCTCTGCATTTGCCCATACTCAATTTGTCTAACTCACACAGAAGCATCTCTTGCATCCTCCTTGCAGTTCACCTGCTCACTCATCTTGGCAATATTATTTAGCTCCCCCATCTGAATCATTAATATACATTGAGAATAGTTGGAGTTTAAGCACTGATCCCTGTAGTACCTCTCTGGTCACTGCCTGTTACTTGGAAAATGAGCTGTTTATTCGTACTCTTTGTTTCCTGTCTGCAAGACAATAAATTATTATTCTGTTCTATTAGCCATGATAAATGCAGAGTGACAGGTAAGTTAGGGGGCTGGGTCTGTGTGGGATGCTCTTTAGTGGGCCAATGCAGGCTCAATGAGCTAAATGGCCTATTTTCACACAGTAGGGATTCGATTATTCTGATCCAAAATCATTGAATACAATATGGATTGCTATAGGATGCCAAATCAAGAATTGAGGAACCTTAGCAAGACAAAGACAGTGGTCAGATGGAGAGCACAGTGAATATTGAAAAGACCAGCAACAGGAAATTCACAGTCCTGCTTTCGGACTGAACAGAGATGTTCCACAAGTCGGTCATCCAGCCTACATCCAGTCTGCAATGTAGAGAAGACCGTATCCAGCACCGATTTTTCCTTTTTTTTGGGGCCCTCTCTCTTGAGCTTTGATATTGAGCTTTCTTGGTTGCTAGTTCCATTGAAATTGCTGTTTCCAGAGCTTGCTTTAAGTCTTGTTTCCTTTTTGTCTTTAATCTCTTCTGAATTTCTTCACATCATAAAATATACACCAGTCTGTGTTCCTCACAACATCATTTTAAGTTGCCTTCAAAGATACGACATTCTGCTATCATCTTTCATTGTAACAAACTGGGAGCTAGACTCACCATGGTATTAGTTGCATTTGTTGAATCTGAACCTTTCAGCAATCACTAGTGGTTTTGGTGAAAAATTGTTGTGTAGGATTCCTACTATTTCCTCATAAGGTTTGGAACTCTGCTTTCTGAGCTGTACCAGATTTCTCAGGAGATTAAAAGTTTATTAATCAAAACCCACACTCCCACCCCCAAAGTCAGGAATTTGGGGATGGCTATATCTTCTTCTGTTTTATTAACTTGAATAAAATAATGGGCATATCACAGTGCGTAGGAGTTCCAGCTCTGTATTTTCATCATACAGTTCTGTTGATGCCAGAATTTCCCACCATCCTTTTTCAAAAAATGGGAGGGCCTCCGTAGCACAACATAGGATGAAAACTTTAGCATTGACTTGCCTCTTCCTGTTTAAAACGAGAAATTTCTGAGCCTGAGATAACCAGGTGTAGAGCTGGATGAACACAGCATGCCGAGCAGGAAGGCTGACGTTTTGGGCTAGACCCTTTAATTTCTGAAGAAGGGTCTAGGCCCGAAACGTCAGCCTTCCTGCTCCTCTGATGCTGCTTGGCCTGCTGTGTTCATCCAGCTCTACACCTTGTTATCTCAGATTCTCCAGCATCTGCAGTTCCTACTGTCTCTGAAACAACAATTTCTGAGCCTACCTTTTTTTCCTTTGAGTCTACACTCCTTGCTTAAAGTACTTATTTCACTGTAGACAACTATTTACAATGTGTTCTTTCAGGGTGGAGCACGTGGCAAGTTTCTTCTGCACTGTTCACCTCTTCCCTGGGGTCTTTTTTTGAACTGACTGTATCTGCTTCAGTGCAGCGATGATGTCTTTTGATTTCTTTCCTTTTTATCAAAATAATTCCATGATTTGCAGTTATGAGCACCAACTTAAATGCCTATGGTTTTGAGTCTTGGATTCACATTTTTTTAAAAAAAAAATCAATTGAAGGTCTCTCTCTTGCTCACCACATACACAGATTCTAAAGTGAATTTTCTGTAGCTCTAAGGCAGACCCTGGATAACACAACCGCCCACAATTTGACAATTGCTCAAATAAGCCATGTATGTTGCAGCAAATCATTGAATTTTAAGACACATACTTTCAAAAGACTGTCACAAGCTTTTTATTTGATGCATGAATGCTTCATACCAAGGCAGAATGTTAAAAGCTTACAGTACTGGTCCCTCATCTTGTTTTTACACAAAAAAATTCTTTGTAAAACTTTTTTTTTATAACCTCTTGTTAGATGAGGATTCCTAGATTTATGCTAGAATTAATACCCATAAGCTTTTGTACCAATGTATTGGACTGCCATTTCGGCAGCTTGTGCCATTTTTCAGCAGACGATGGAGAATATTTCACAAGGTCTACCGCAGGTCGCCAATTATCTAGATGACTGGTAAAAACAGGGAAGACCAATAAAGAGCACTGAGAGAACTTGGACATGGTTCTTAGACATTTCGTCAAGGTGGAGGTATACCTTAGAAGGGAAAATGTGTTCCAGGCTTCCGAAGTGACCTACTTGGGCTACAGATTCAACAAGACCAGGTTACACATGTTTTGAAGATCAAGTGAGAGCAATCAAAAGTGCTCTGGCTCCCATGTTTGTATCAGAGCTTAGGTTTTCCCTTGGGCTAGTGAATTATTATGGAAAGTTCATACGTAATCTGGCCTGTATCCTGGCAGCCATGCATCTGCTATTGAAAAAGGGTCAGCCTTGGAAGTGGTCTCATAGCCAAGATGTAGCCTTTAGGGAAGTGAAGAAGCAACTATCATCTAAGGGGTTGGAACACTATAATCCCAAACGAGATCTGTTACTAACATGCGATGCTTCCCCGTATGGTATTGGACAAGTGTTGGCTGTCAGATGGCCCAATGGAGGGGAACACCCAATAGCATACGGTTCTTGGACTTTGGCTGATGCAGAGCGAAAAAACGCCCAGGTAGAGAAGGGAAGTTTGGCGGTCATCTTTGGCATGCAAAAATTCCACCAATACCTTTTTATGGACGTAAATTTGTAATGGTGATAGACGACAAACCTCTGAAAGAGTAGTCCAAATTTTGAAGGCAGGCTTAAAGAAACAGCCTATAGCTACATTCGATACCAATCTGTCCCAGTTCTTGTTTGCTGGAGCTATCCCTATAATTATGAGAGGTGGTATGATGATCAGAGTTGCTAATGAGGAGAAGACTCCGCGTCAGATTAAATGTGGTCTTCACAGACCTGGTGTGGGGTGGGGGGATTGTAGGGGAAGGTGAAATAGACTGGATGGACTATGTCGACCGTAATCCCAAACTAAACTAGTCCCACCTGCCTGCACTTGGCCCGTATCCCTCAATATTTGTTATTCATGTACTTATTTAAATATGTCTTTTAAATGTTGTAACTGTACCCACACCCATCACTTCCTCTGGAAGTTATTCCACGCATGAACCACTCTGTAAGAAAGTAAAATGCCTCTCATGTCTTTTTTTTTTAAATCTTTCTCCTCACCTTTTAAAGTATGCCTCCCCCTAGCCTTGAAATCCCTCACCCTTGGGAAAAGACACTTGCCATTCACCTTATCTATACCCCTCATTATTTTCTAAACCTCTATAAAGTTACCTTCCAATCTACCACATGCCAGTGAAAAAAGTCCCAGCCTGTCCTTGTAGCTCAAACCCTCCATTCCCAGCAACATTCTGATAAATCTCTTCCTAACCCCCTCCAGCTTAATAATATCCTTCCTATAACAGGGAGAACAGAATTGGGCACAGTACTCCAGAAGAGGCCTCCTAAACATCATGTACAACCTCAACATTAACGTTCCAACTCCTACACTCAAGTCTGAGAATTGAAGGCAAGCATGCTAAACGCCCCTTTAACCACCCTATCTACACGTGATGCAAACTTTAAAGGATTATGTACCTGAACCCCTAGGTCTGTCCATTCGAAAACACTATCCAAGACCCTACTTTTAATTATATAAATCTTGTCTAAGTGAGAGAGACAGTTTACTTCAGGGGATGAAGTTTGGTGCCATAACCACGTAAATGGCCCTGCATCAGTAAAAGATATGGTCAACATTATGTCAGATCCCATGACTTAAAGTTTGGGTAGGTCGAGGTAGTCCTGAACAACCACATGAAAGCTGCAAACTCTCAAAACGGGCCAGGACCAAAAAAATACCCGGCCCTTCAGAGTAGCCAGAAAGCTGTCAGAATCCATGGGTTCTCCCCTTCCATCTCGCGTCAAAGAAACCTTGGAGACTGAAATGAACACTGCCGGTGTCACAGCCTCGACGCCTTTACCACCTGAAGTACTGGATGAATTTCTTCCGAGACGCTCTGGGTGCAAGAGGTGGCCTGGCGCACACAGCCCATATTGAAGGCTGAGTCGGAGGAACTGGACCCAGAGCAAAAAAAAGCCCCAGGAGACACTGCAAGAAAAAGAAGTGGCCTTTGTCCCCAAACTTAGAGGGGAAGGGATGTAGCGATTGTAGCGAGGTCAGCCAGGTGGACCTCCATAGAATATGAATTCACTGATTTGGACCAGATTAACAGCCCAAATTAGGGAGCCCTGGCTGACAGATACAAACAGGAATGTCAGAGGTTCTGCTCACTCAGAGCTGGCTCTGAGGAAGCTGGGCCAGTGTCAAGTTCAATGCACGTGTAAATGAAGGCTGACTTGATGATGAGATACTGGCCTCTGTGGAGTTATTTCAGATAAGGTATTATTAATCACTAACATTTTGAAAGTTGACAAAAGGATAAATATTTGAATTTGTTTCTGCAAGGTGCAATTACTGACTTTTATTACTGTACACCCTTTTTGCAAAACCAACGAGACCAGCGTTCATGTGAAAGACTTTCTAATAGTGAATTGGTCAATTTTCAGTTTAATGCAGAAAATGGGACATCTGATGTTAACAGATATTTGTTAACAACATATTTTAGCGCCCTTGCCAAGATTGCATGAGGAGGAGTGAAATGGGAGTTTTACCAGCAGAATCTTTCGTAGCAGGGGTGTCTTTAAGAATTATTACAGAGGATAGGGAGTGCTTCCCCAACTATTCAATGTCAAGGGTGATGGAGATTGCCTGTCCACCTATCCTGCTGGGACAATGTTCAACAAGGAAGCCAATATTAATTTTCTTAAACTAGGTGAGTACCTGAGGAAGGATGATGCATGTCAGCAGATTATCCAAATAATGTTCATGCATCACAATTTCAAATCAGCGTCATGCATCTTAGCAGTGTTGCAACTATGTACACCCCATAGGAAAAGAAATTATAATCCCAACCTCGGTTCCATTCCCTGTAATAGTTCATGAGATCTGGAAATCCAGGCCATGCATAGCACAATTTTGATCCACTAAAGTAGCAGCTCCGGGTAGGAGTATGTCAAGAATTAGTGAAGAGCATTGTCACTATAAATAGAAAGGAAAAGTTGAAGAAAGGTTGGAGGAATTTCTCTGAAATAAGAATAGAAGAGTCATTATAAATAACTTCCTTGCTTTTCCTTCTATAAAATTATTTATTGAGTATGCATACATAATTACTTCTGCTTTCTTTTTCTCTTCTGGAACTTAAAGAAAATCCCTCCAGTTTTGAAATAATATTCTGATATTCTGTGCCATTGAGTTGAGTTGCAACTTTAGCCCCACTGTACTTGCATGTTTTAATATTTTCTATTAGAGCTTGTAGAGTTGTCATCTTTTTACCCAAGTGTCTGTTTGAAGGTGCTCAGCAGACTTTGTTTTATATTTGGCATCAATGTGATTGTGACTACTCTAATGCCAAACTCTTATCTGTTATGAGGTTATGGGCATGCTTGCACTTTACATCTGATCTGTACTTGGTTTCATTTTGCATTGTATTGTAAAAAATGCATTTCTCTAAAACCGAAGTTCTTTACACAATTTTTGATTTATGTAAAGAATGGCTAGTGTTAAAACAACTTGTATTTTTCCTTTTACAGTTGTTTGTCGGCCTTGGCTTTCCATATGAAGGACCAGCTCCTCTAGAAGCCATTGCTAACGGTTGTGCTTTCTTGAATCCACGGTTTAATCCACCGAAAAGTAGTAAGAACACGGAGTTTTTCAAAGGCAAGCCAACACTTAGAGAGGTGAGCTTTTAGATCATAAAGTTATACAGAGCAAAAATAGACCCTTCAGTCCAACTGACCCATGCCAACCAGATATTCTGAATAAATCTAGTCCCATTTGGCCCATATCCTTCTAAACCCTTCCTATTCAGGTACCCATCCAGATGCCTTTTAAATATTGTAATTGTACTTGCCTCCACTACTACTACTTCAACTCACTCCATACATGCACCACCCTCTGCGTCAAAAAGTTGCCTTTCGGGGCCCCTTTTTAAATCTTTCCCCTCTCAACTTAAAATTATGCCTCTGGTTTTGGACTCCCCCACCCTGGGGAAAGGACCTTGGCTATTCACCCTCTCCATTCCCCTCATGACCTTCTAAACCTTTATAAGGTCACCCCTCAGCCTCCACTCTAGGGAATATAGCCCCAGCCTATTCAGCCTCTCCTTATATCTCAAACACCCCCCAATCTTGGTAACATCCTTGTAAATCTTTTCTTAACTCTATCAAGTTTCACAACAACCATCCCTTAGCAAGGAGGCCAGAGTTGCACACAGTATTCCAGTAGTAGCCCAACTAATGTCCTGTACCGCCACAACATGCTATCCCAACTCTTATACTCAGCGCATTGACCGATGAAGGCAATGGTACCAAATGCCACTGGTTTCACCCTGCACACCTGCGACTTCACTTTCAAGGAACTATGCACATGCAACCTTAAGTCTGTTTGTATGGCAACACTCCCCAGGGCCCTACTATTAAGTGTATCAGTCCTGCCTTGATTTGCTTTACCAAAATGCAACACCTCACAATTATCTAGATTAAACTCCATTATCCTATTTGATCAAGGTCCCACTGTACTCTGAGATAACCTTCTTCACTGTCCACTACACCTCCAATTTTGGTGTCACCTGCAAACTTACTCACCATACCTCCTGTATTCGCATCCAAAACATTTATACAAGTGACGGAAATCAGTGGACCCAGCACTGATCATTGCAGCACACCACTGGTCACAGGCCTCCGGTCTGAAAAAACAACCCTCCACCACCGCCCTCTGTCTCCTACTTTCAAGCCAATTTTGCATCCAGTTGGCTAACTCTGCCTGGATTCCACATGATCTAACCTTGCTAATCAGTCTACCATGTGGAACCTTGTTGGCTGCTCTGCTTTCATCAATCTTCTCTCTCACTTCTTCAAAAAACTCAAGTTAGTAATATAGGATTTCCCAAGTACAAAGCAATATTCACTATCCTTAATCAATCCTTGTCTTTCGAAATGCATGTAAATCCTGTCCCTCCAAATCCCCTCCAACAATTTACTCACCACTGATGTCAGGCTTGAACCTTTTTTTTTTTTTTGTTTTGTTTTAATCTCAAGCAAGAAATGTTATGCTTGTTTCACCCACAGTATATGCTAAGTACTTCACATGGACTGAAAGACCTGTGTAATTTATTTCAAGTTGAAATAGTCTTAGGTTGCATATTTTCTTAAAATTTTCAGCTTCATGTATTAAGCTGCTTCTCAAAACTGACTTTGATCAACTTTTGGTTATTTACCAACTATCTCTTTAAATGTATGAACAAACATATGAAATAAAAGCAGAGATAGACCATTCAGCCCTCAAACCTCTTCTGTTATTCACTAAAACCATGGCTGAGCTGTTTTTGTTTTAAATTCCCATCTACCCCAGCTACTCCCCATTGGGATCAGTGCTTCCTTCCTTCCTTGTTTGTAATATTCATAAATGATGTAGATAAGAAAGTTGAAGAGATGATAAATAAGTTTGCAGATGACACAAAGATTGACCAGATGGTTGACAGTGAGGAGGAAGGTCTTGGGTTACAAGATGATGTAAACGGATTGGTCAGATAAGTAGATCAGTGGCAATGGAATTTAACCCTGATAAATATGAGGTAATGCACTTTGGAAGAAAGAACAAGACAAGGGAATGCTCTGTAACAGCAAAACACTAGGAAGCTCAGATGAACAGAGGGAACTTGGGTGCTTGTACACAAATCCTTGAAGGTGGCAAGACAGATAAATAGGATAGTTAAGAAGGTATATTGCGCTTGCCTTTGTCAGTCATTGCTAGATCGGGCGGCACGGTGGCTCAGTGGTTATCACTGCTACCTCACAGCACCAGGAACCCGGGTTTGATTCCACCCCTGAGCGACTGTCCATTTGGAGTTTACACATTCTCCCCCTGTCTGTGTGGGTTTCCTCCGGATGCTCTGGTTTCCTCCCACTGCCCAAAGATGTGCAGGCTAGGTGGCTTGGCCATGCTAAATTGCCCATGGTGTTCAGGGGTGTATAGATTAGGTGAGTTATAGGGGGATGGGTCTGGGTGGGATGCTCTGAGGGTCAGTGTGGACTTGTTGGGCCAAAGGGCCTGTTTCCACACTGTAGGAAGTCTAATTGTAAGTCACCAAGGAGGTCATGTTGGAGCCCTACGGAGCTTTGGTTAGGCCACAAGTAGAGTACCGCAGGGAATTCTGGCCACTATGCTATGAGATGGGTGTGATTTGTACTGGAGGGGGTGCAAAGGAAATTCACCAGGACGTCGCCTGGAATGGAGTATTTCTGTTATGAAGGGAGACTGGATGAACTTGTTGTTTTCTTTGGAGTGGAGAAGGTTGAGGGAAGATCCAATAAGGTATATAGTATTGAGGGTCATGGACAGGATGAATGATAAGCAGCTGTTTTCCTTGGTCAAAAGGTCAATAACAAAGGGGCCTAATTATAATCTGAAAGAATGATTAGAGGGGATTTGAGGAAAAATGTTTTCACCCAGAGGATTGGGGGGGTCTGGAATGTACTGCCTGGAAGGTGAGAAATCTCAACCTTTAAAACATACTTGGATGAACACTTGAAGTGTCATCACATTGGAGACTACGGGCCTACTGTGGGAAAGTAGGACTAATGCAGATAGTAATATATTTTCGGAATACAGACTTAATGGGCTGAAGGGCTTCTACTGTGCTTCTATTACTTGCTTCCTGAATGAAACCAGATTCTATCCACTTCTATCGTACAAAAATTCAGTAACCCTGCGCCACCACCAGATACAGAGTTCCAAAGTCTCCTCGCCCTCTGAGGGAAAACTTTTCACCTCTCCTCTGCCCTGAAGGGTCTACCCTTAATTTTAGACAGTTGCACCACAGAAGTGCCAGACAATGATCATTCCCAGCTAGAGAGAACCTTGACATCCAATAGCATTACCTCCACTGAACTCTCCACTATCCAACATCCTTGCAGTTACTACTGACCATAAGCTGAACTGGATTAACTATATAAATACCACATCTCCAAAAACCGGGCATAGTGCTAGATATCTGTCTAGTAACGAGTAACTCACCTGCTCATTCCCAAAAGCCTGTGCACTATCTGCAAGACATAGGAGTGTGGTGGAATAATCGTAGTATGGACCAGACCAAACCCCCTTTAAATATAACAAAGAGATAACCTAGACCTCCTGTCTTATTTAAAGACAAGTTTAAGGTGCTGTGTTACAGAAGTAATTTGATTGGTTACACTTAGCTTTAAGCAAAACCCTTTACTTTAACCAAAAAGTAAGAATACAAACAAAAGAAAGGAAAATTGAAATAACTATATTGGAAAACTTAACAGAATAATAAATTATTTAACTACTAACCAGCAACTAATTCAAAATAGCAACATCCTAGGGCAGCAAGGTGGCTCAATGGTTAGCACTGCTGCCTCACAGTGCCAGGAACCTGGGTTCGATTCAACCCTCAAGCAACTATCTGTGAAGAGATTGCACATTCTCCCTGTGTCTGCGTGGGCTTCCTCCCACAGTCCACAAATGTGCAGGTTAGGTGAATTGGCCGTGTTAAATTGCCCATAGTGTTCAGGGATACGTAGATTAGGTGGTTTATAGGGGGATGGGTCTGGGTGGGATGCTCCGAGAGTCAGTGTGGACTTGTTGGGCCAAAGGACCTTTTTCCACACTGTAGGGATTCAATGATCAATGATAAACACACCTTGGCAAAGGCAAATTCAGTGAATTAATTTGTCTTACATGTGATTCTGGTAACAGGTAGAGATGCCAAGTCTTTAGCTGTAACAGAGAGAATGATGTAGCACTTTTGGCAACCAACTTCAAAAATCCCAGCAACTGCTGAAATCTAAACTAGAACCCTGGTTCTGTGGGAGCCTGACTCCACTCCATTCATGCTGCTTCTGTTGTTCCAACTTCTTTTTTTAAAAAAAACACACCTTAAGGCCTCAGGCTGTTTTAACTTAATAGTTTGGAGGAGACAGCTCATCACCTATGACTCAAAATCTCTTCAAAGAAAACCAGGACAAAATACATTTCTTAAAACTATTGTATTGTCACAATCCCCACCATTCTGGATGAGTGTAGCTACCATTGCACTCAAACTTGACACCTTCCAGGAAAATAGAGCCCATGTCATTAACACCACATCCACAAACATGAACTCCCTCAACAGCTTGATTGATTGTCCCATGTACCAAAATACAGTGAAAAGCTTTGTTTACGAGCGGTACAGGCAGATCACAGAAAGCAAAGGATGTGCAGATCAAAAGGACTTGGAGGCATTCAGGTTACATTATTTGATGCTAGAGTCTATTCAGTAGTCTGAATGCAGCCAGAAGGGAGCTGTTCCTAAACCTGCTGGTGGTGTGTTCAGGCTTGTATATCTTCCACCTGATGGAAGAGGTCGTAGGAGGTCATTACCAGTGCGTTTTTGATGATGTTGGCTGCCTTTCTGTGGCAGTGCGCAGTGTAAGTAGAGTCTTGGATGGGAGGCTGGTTTCTGTGATGGTCTGGGCTGTGCACACCACCTTCTGTATGTTCTTGCAGTCCTGGTTAGAGCAGTTGCCATACCAGGGTGCTATGCACCTGGATAGTATGTTTCGTTGGTGCATCTGTAGAAGTTGGTGAGGCATCTTAAGGACATGAGGAAGAGTCACCAGACCCAAAACGTTAACTCTGATTTTCCTTCACAGGTGCTGCCAGATCTGCTGAGCTTTTCCAGCAATTTCTGTTTTTTTTTTTTTTATTATCCATCCCTAGTTATCCTCAAGAAGGTGGTGGTGAGTTGCTTCTTGAATTGCTGTGGTCCATTTGGTGTGGGTAGATCTGCAATGTTAGAGATGGAGATCTAGGATTTTGACCCAGCAACAATGAAGGAATTGTGATACAGTTCAAGTCAGGACAAGGAGTAGTTTTATGCTGGATAGCAGCAGTGTACCATCTAGAAGATGCATGGAGAAATTTATCAAGGCTGCTTATACAGCTTCTTCCAGATCTGTGAATACTGCCACCTAGAAGGACAAGGGCAGCAGACACTTAGGAATACTACCCCCTGCAATTTTCCCTCCAAGCTGCTCCTTGTCCTGACTTGAGCTATATCACAGTTCCTTCATTGTTGCTGGGTCAAAATCCTGGATCTTCATCCCTAACAACTTGAGTCTGCCCACACCAAATGGACAACGGCAGTTCAAGAAGCAACTTGCCACCACCTTCTCGAGAATAAGTGGGAATGGATAATAAACAAAATGAGAAATTGCTGGAAAAGCTCAGCAGATCTGGCAGCATTTGTGAAGAGAAATCAGAGCTATCGTTTCGGGTCCAGTGACCCTTCCTCAGAACTGATAGTAGCTAGGAAAATGTGCAGAAGATAGAGTTTGGGGGAGGGGGGAACGGAGTAAATGATAGGTGGGGTTATAACCCAAAGAGAGAGAAGAACAGTTGGACAGACAAAGGAGTGGAAAAGCAATCTGACTATGAGAGTGAATAGCTGTTAATGGATATTGTTAGTGGCTAACAACAAGTGGTGCGTAATGGCAGGCTGTGTGATAACAAGGCCGTGTGTGTGTGTGTGTGTGTGTGTGTGTGTGTGTGTGTGTGTGTGTGTGTGTGTGTGTGTGTGTGTGTGGGGTTGGGGGCTAGGACATGGGAGAGTTGAGGCCCTAAAAATTATTGAACTTGATATTGAGTCCAGAAGGTTGCAGGGTTCCAAAATGGAAAATGAGGTATTGTTCTTCCAGCTTGCGCTGAGCTTTGCTGGAACACTGCCGCAAGCCTGAGACAGAGATGTTAGCCAGGAAACAGGGTAGTGTGTTAAAGTGGCAGGCAACTGGAAGTTCAGGGTCTATTTTTTTATGGGCAGAACGCAAGTGTTCTGCAAAGCAGTCACCCAGTCTATGCTTCATTTCCCTAAAGTAGAGGAAACAACATTGTGAGCAGTGAATGCAGTAGACTGGATTGTGGGAAGTGCAGGTGAAGTGCTGCTTCACCTGGAAGGTATATTTGGGCCCTTGGATACTGAGAAGGGAGGAGGTAAATGGGCAGGTATTACACCTTCGGCAGTTGCTGGGGAAGGTGCCATGGGGCTGTGGGGGGATGTTAGGAGTGAAGGAAGAGTGGACCAGGGTGTCCCGTAGGGAACAGTCCCTGCAGAAGGTGGACAAGGGAGGGTGGAAAATATGTGTCTGGTGGTGGCATCTCATTGGAAGAAGCATTTGGCGGCTGATGATCTTCTGAACATGGATGCTGGGTGAGAAGGAGAACCCTATTGCTGTCGCAGGAGGGAAGAGAAGGGGTGAGGTCAGAAGTGTGGGAGATGGTTCAGACCCAGTTGAGGGCCCTGTCGACGATGGTGCTGTGGAATCCTTGGCTGAGGAAGAATGTGGACATTTCAGAGGTTTCCTTGCCGAAGATGGCCTCATTGGAACATGTGCGACAAAGACCGAGGAACTGGGAGAATGGAATGGAGTCTTTACAGGAAACAGGGTGTGAGGATGTATAGTCCAGGTAGCTGTGAGAGTCAGTGGGTTTATAAGTGGCTATTAGTGGCCAGTCTATCCCCAGAAATGGAAACGGATGTCAAAGAAGGGAAGGGAGGAATCGGATACCCCAAGTGAAAGAGGGTCGGGTGGAAATTGGAAATGAAATTGATTTAACATTTCCAATTCCAGATGAGAGAGAGAAGCAGCACCGATGATATCGTTGATATATCCGAGAAAGAGTTGTGGTGGGGGCTGGAATAGGACTGGAACAAGGAATTTCCACCTACTCCACAAAGAGATAGGTATAACTGGGGCCCATGTGAGTACCCGTGGCCGTCCCTTTGATCTGAAGAAAATAAGAGGAGTTAAAAGAGAAGTTGTTGAGGGTGAGGACGAGATCAGCCAAACGGAAGAGAGTGGTGGTGGGTGGGGATGGTTCAGGCCTTTGTTCCAGAAAGAAGCAGAGTGCCCTAAAACCATCCTGGTGAGGATGGATGTGTAAAGGGTTTGCACATCCATGGTAAAGAGGAGGCGGCTGGAGCCTGCAAGCTGGAAATTCCGAAACTGGTGTGAAGCATCAGGAATCACGGATGTAAGTGGGCAGCGACTGGTCCAAGAGAGAGGAGACCAAATCAAGGTAGGAAGAAATCAGTTCTGTGGGGCAGGAGCAGGCAGAAACAGTGGGTCTGCCTGGGCAGTCCTGTTTGTGGATTTTCAGAAGGAGGTAGAAGTGAGCTGTGCGGGGCTTGGGGCTATCACATTGGAGGCAGTCGGGGTGAGATCACCAGACGAAATGAGGTCATTGACTTCGGCAGAGGTATCTGAGAGATGGCACTCGGCACATATCAAATGCCAATGTCCATGGGCTTGCGGTGCATCTGGTACCCATAGAGCATTCCCCAATAGACTGGTGCCCAGTCTCTTCCTACAGTAAACAACAAACTGAATTCACCAGTTAACTGTTCTGATTCCCGTGTCGAATTTCCTTGACATTGAGCTTATTTGGCAAGATACAAAGCTGAATATTAATGAGGTGGGCTGGACAGTTAGCAAGGTATTTAACAAGCAATAATCCTTATTTGACAACTCTCCACTGCCAAGTGAGAAACTCACTAGTCAAAAGCAGAAAAAATGGAATGAGTTGCTCCCAATTTTGAGACCAACCTTACTGGGCTTCTTGTCAGATGTTGCCACATCTCGCCATATTCACATTAGTCAGACTCTTATAGGATTCTGCCTATCCATTACGCATCCTCTTTACAAGATCCTGAATAATCTTGACACACTTCAATCAAATCACCCCTCAATCTTCCACACTCCAGTGGAAACAAGTCCAACCTGTCTAACCTATCCTTAACCTACTCATTTTCAGTGTTAATTCGATAAACCTCTTCTGAACTTCCTAAATGGCTCTGTGTCACATTTTGTTTGTTAAGGCTTCTATGAATCATGTTGTGCTTTTACTAGATTAAAAGCTCTATATATTCAAATTGTTGTGCTTGTTTTTCATTGTAATTTTACCCTGATTCTACTACTGTGCTAACAAATCCAATGTATTCTTGCAGTTGACTTCACAGCATCCATATGCAGAAGTGTTTATTGGAAAACCTCATGTCTGGACTGTTAACATTGATGACCCAGCAGAAGTGGAGCATGCAGTGAAGGCTATACTTAATCAGAAGGTAAAATTATCTCTGAAAGATAGGTCGGGAAATAGGCTTGCTTTTCATTTATTTGATTATGTTGAAATAGAATTAGAAATCAGTTAATTCATTTTGTAATAAAAACAGTAAATTGAAACTGACTTTCCAGAAATGTTGATTTGGGCAGAGACAGCAAAATATTTGGGGAAAGACAGTACAGCGTGAGCAGGAAAGCTAGTCAAATATTTGTTATTTGAAACAACTGCCTGAACTTGCAGGTCCTGATATTTCGATAGCCTGACAGTGATTAAGACCTACACAAACTGGAATTGCACAAGAGGACTATGTGGAATCCAAATTCAGTGGACTTCATGGAATTGCCTGGGAAAGTAAGGATGCTAATGTGTAATTCCCATGGAGTCCAATCCAAAATAATCTGTTAAAGTCTGAGGCATCCACTTCAGCATAACTAATATTACCCAGGAAAAGTTAGAGAATCGAAAACCTAGTGTAAGTCCTGGGTAGCTACTGAACTAACTGCATCCTTCTAAACTCGCCTCATGCCCCCCTCTCTCTCCCAATGATAACACCCCCAATTTTTTTATTAACTACTACCACCCTCTGCCCCCAAAGAACATATCCCACAACCCAATTGCCACCTCTACATCCAATGGCCTCAACCTCCGGGATCCAACCTTCAACCTGGGATGGCGCTATCCCACCCTCTCCCTGCCAGATTGAATATGCTTCCCTGTAAACCCAATGACATCCTGCCAAACCCAATACCACTACTCCGGCCAGCCTGACATCTTCAACCGACCTCCCGTCCCCAGAACCATGACCTACCATAAGCACGCCATCTCTCATCTGACACCCTACCCACCTAGCCACTGCTGTCCTAAACCCTCCGCTTACATTGTGGCACAGTGGTGGTGCCCCTACTGCTGAGCCAGGGGGCCTGGGTTCAAGTCCCACTTGCTCCAGAGGTGTATAGTAACATCTCTGAACAGGTTGATTAGTCAATATCTGCATACCTTCTCAGGACATATCAAAGTGTCTGACTGTGCTACTAGACATTGAAATCAGAGAACATGACACTCTGCTGCAAAGTGGAGTGTGGTTTGACTCTCTTCCTGTCCTCCGCCCCCAGCAAAATATCTTGCAACACGATAAACTGTTTGATTTCAGGCACACTCTGCATTTCTGAAGGGAATTGTGTGATTAGAATTGCTGGCAAGAAACATTGACCTCAGTCCTAATGGAATGAAATGGGAGTAAAGTGTCAATCTCACTGCCACCCCTCTGAATATTTTTGGTCAGTAGAGTTATGCAAATAAATTGTATACATCACAGTGAGTAATTTCATGTTAAATCTTAAAAATGTCCTTGAGCAAAAGTTCCTGATCTGTTTTGATGGCTTTCTTTACTGCCTGTAACTTATGATCTTCAGAGAAGAGCAGGGAGTTTTAGCCAGCATCTATAAAAAGTGATTAAATTGTCATTCACCTCATTCGCTAGATTTTGCTACACCATTTTCCTACATGAAATAATTATACTTTAAAAATAATTTTAAGGGATGTGATGCACATCCTGAGGATACAATGTCATTTATATACTGTATATTTCTTCTTAGTAAATAGCTCATATGGTTTCAAGGTTAATGGTCACCAAAAAGTGAAATGAAGACTGAAGGAAACAGCTTGATTGCACCTTATTCCTCCTTGATTTGTGAATGAACATATACAGTTATTTTCAGAGGTAGGGGCAGAAAAATGTCAACCAGGGTTTATGTGATTGTTCTTCAGTGATTCACTGCCACAGAATGCATACATGTGAATTATTGGCTGAGGAGAGTACAGGAATCTGTTGTAATCTCCCAAAAGTTCTATAATCCATATAGGCTTTCAACAATGACTTTGAACAGGAGGATATCTGTGGGATGATATTGCAAGATGAATTGGAGATTAGGTTTTATGACTGGGAAATCATGTTTGATTACTTGTTACTTCATAGCACTCAATCAATGTGAATAATAGACTTTTGGTGGTACAGAACTTCAGTATTGCTGAAAAATACTCATTTTGTCAATGCTTTTCATTTTTTACTTATCAGGACAATTTCCAAGAATACCAATAAAGGGAAAACCAACATTTACACTGCATGAGAGGAGAGTGCTGATTGGTGGCAAGTGAATTCAGATTGTTAGAGGCATTGCTATAGAGAATACACCAGTTAATAATGACCAGTTCATTGACAAGCTCTGTTTACATTTAAACCAGGCAGGTAGGCTTTGGTCAAGGTGTTGCACTGAGAAATGAACCAACAAATGGTTATCAGCTTTTTTTGTTCAGTTGAAACTGGTGGAAGTGTGTGTACATGTTCTTTCTGACTACAAACAGCAGGGCCTAATGTATTGACGTCTCAACCTTCCAATATACACATGTGCCATATTACAACCCTAAATTGGTTGAATACATAATTCTTGTCACACTCAGAATTATCCACCAAATGTTGTCCAGTTACAGAATCACGTCTAATGTTGGACATTTTGTTGCAAACACAAACTGGTTGAGTGTAGTGAATACCTCCCAACAACAACAAAAACAGAAATTTCTGGAAAAGCTCAGCTGGTCTGGCAGCATTTGTGAAGAGAAGTCTATGTTAACGTTTCAGGTCTGGTGAATAGAAACATAGGAACATAGAAGATAGGAGCAGGAGGAGGCCATTCAGCCCTTCGAGTCTGCTCCACCATTCTTCACGATCATGGCTGATCGTCCAACTCAATAGCCTAATCCCGCTTTCTCCCCATAACCTTTGATCCATTTGTTCCAAGTGCTATATCTAGCCGGCTCTTGAATACGTTCAATATTTTGGCATTAATTACCTGCTGTGATAATGAATTCCACAGGCTCACCACTCTTTGGGTGAAGAAACGTCTCCTCATCTCCGTCCTGGATCGTCTACCCCAAATCCTCAGACTGTGACCCCTGGTTCTGAACATACCCACCATCAGGAACATCCTCCCTGCATCTGCCCTGTCTGGTCCTGTTAGAATTTTAGAAGAAGATGTGTTGTTTGAAATGATCTGCAAGTCTTTGGTGCATGAGCCCTACATACCTGCCATTGCACTGAAAATTTTCTTATGGATGAAGGATTGGTTGGCTAACAGAAACTGAACTGAGTAGAGCTAGAGGTTGTTTTGAGGTTGGCAAGCTCTAATGAATGAGTGCCACAATGATCAGCACTAGACACCTAACAATTTGCAAACTACAGTAAATTTTGCATTAAAGATCTGATTGTGCTTGATGCTGCAAGTACTCATCAGGACCTTTTTCTTCCCTTTAATAGATTGATCCATATTTGCCCTACGAATTCAACTGTGAAGGAATGTTGCAGAGAGTCAGTGCTTTTATTGAAAATCAGGTAATTTATTTTATTGTACAATCTAGAAATGTTGACTTGAGAAATCTCCTAGAAAATTACTGTTTAATCGGATGAGTCACTGTTTCTGTGTTTTGACAATAGAATTGCTGGCTGATTTTTTTTTTATATGGTAATTAAATGAAGAGTATTTGAGATAATTACAGTATTTAAATGCTGTTCAAAAGGATTCATTCTATTTCACTGAACTCAGATAAGACGATTAATTCAATTGGATATTGTATAAATTTGAAATATTGAAAATTGTTTTCTCAAATCTATCGAATATTCAAATTTCAACTATGTTAGAAGATTTTGCTGACAAGTGTTCCTCCTGTTCCTACTTAACAAGTAGAATTAAATCTATTTGTCTAATTTGTTTACCTATCTGATTAAAGTCTGTACTTTGCACCATGTAGCTTGGTTTCAGAAAAGCAAGATTAAATTTTCTTGTGATATGTTGAAGAGTATCATGTAAACATACAGGAAATACTCAAGGCAGCAGCTGTGAGAAGAACAGAAGAGTTAGTATTTCAAATATAAACTCTTCCAAGCATATACTGAAGTGTTCACTTCTCCATTTCCTCTAGCCTGCCCTGCTGAGAATTTCAAGCATCTGTAATATTTGTTTTCTGCTCAATGTTAGCAAGCATGATAGATAAACCTCATTTTATACAGGGAATATGATCTAATACTTGATTCTGGAGTTGAGAGGGCTGACTTATGAGGAGAAATCGAGTACTCTGGGGCTATGCTCATTGGCATTTAGAAGAATGACCAAGGGAATCTGTAGAAACGTACAAAATTATGAAGGGAATAGATAAGATAGAAGCACGAAGGTTATTTTGACTGGCAGCTGAAACTAGAGCTAGGGGTCATAGCCTCAATGAGGGGGAGCAGATTTAGGACTGAGTTGAGGAGGAACTTCTTCACCCCAAAGAGTTGTGAATCTGTGGAATTCCCTGCCCAGTGAAGCAGTTGAGGCTACCTTGTTGAATGCCTTTAAGGCAAAGATAGATTTTTGAACAGTAAAGAAATTAAATGTTACGGTGAGAGGGCGGGTAAGTGGAGCTGAGTCCACAAAAAGATCAGTCATGATCTTATTGAATGGTGGAGCAGGCTCAATGGACCAGATGGCCGACGATTCCTATTTCTTATTTCTATTTATACTGTTATTACTTGCTCAAATAGAAGTTGAGCACAGATTTTTTTTTTTTAAGATTTGTTTTAATTATTTCAAAGGATGTGAGCATTTCTGGCGAGAACAAGATTAGTTGTTATTCCTAATTGCCATTGAGAAAGTGGTGGTGAGCTACTACCTTAAACTGCTGCAGTCCGCCTGGCATAGGTATGCCAACAGCGCTGTTTTAAAAAAAAATTATGTTCAGGATTTTGAACCAGCAGCATTGAAACAATGGTAATATATTTCCAAGCCAGGATGGTCTACGGCTTTGAGTGGAACTTTCAGTTGATGTTTGGTGAGTTTGATGCACTTATCCTGCTGTGTTGTAGAAGTCACAGGTTTGCATGTTGCTTTTGAAGGAGGGGAATTGTTGAAGTGCATCTCGTGTATTGCCTGCAATACAACCACTGCATGGTAGAAGGAATGAATGTTGAAAGTGCTGAGTGGGATGCTACTCATGGGGCCAACTTTGTGTATGGTATGGAGCTTCTTGAGGGTTGTTAAAGCCACATAACATACCACGTGAATGGAGAGGACTTTGTCGTACTTCTGAATCATGTGGACGAGCTCTGAGAAGTCAGGAGGTGAGTCATTTACTGCAAAATACCCAGCCCATGTTCAGCGGTTGTGTCCAGAGTATTTATGTCATTGGCTCTGTTCAATTTCTGGTCAGTGCTAACCTTTGCAAGATGTTGATGATGTGGGATTTGTAGTAATGCTGGTGATGTCAAGGGGACATAATTTGATTCTCTCTGGGTTGGAACTGATCATTGGCAAATACTTTTGTGTTGTGGACTTCAGTTGCCATTTCTTATCCCAAGTCAGAATGTTGTTCAGGTCTTGCAAGTGAGAATGCAATGTTCAGTATCTGAGAAAGTCATAAATGGTAGTGAACACTGCAATCATCCTCCAATATCTCTGCCTCTGACATTGATAAATGGAAGGAGATTGATGAAGCCCCTGAATAGGGTTGGATTTACGACACTAACCTTCAAAAATTCTGCAGCAATGTGCTGGGGCTGGCATGATTAGTCTCCAACAACCACAACCTCAACATCTTGTATGCCACGTACAACTCCAATCATTAGAGAGTCTTTGTGACTCTTGTGTCATCTTTTGAAATCAGATCATTTGGCCCAAGGCTGCAATGAGGCGAGAAGCCGAGTTGCCTTGACAGAACCCAAAATCCCACGTAAGTGTCACTTGACAGCTCATTGAAGTCTTCTGTCACTTTGATCTTGCTTATAGTTAAATGTTTGTTGTATAAGGGGTGAAACATGACTGAGTTAACAAATCTGGTCAGGGTAGGCAAATGGGGCTTAAATCAACATGGGTGTTAATTCAAAAAAGGGCCCTCGTTCAAAAGGTTCAGAAAAATAAGTAATCTGTAGAAAGGAATAGTAAGGAATGGAACTTCAATTGGATGGTTGTCAGGGCCACCGAAAGGATCCTGATTGGTGAAAACTGTGATGTAGAAGGAAGAGTCGCAGCAGGTGGGAAGAAGGGTATAATGAAGGATGGAAACAGCATATTTAGAGTGGGAAACACCATCACATTAGGTGCATTGGGGAGGGAGAAACAACAAGAGAATTGAATAAGGCACAAAAGGCAATTGCAGGGTGTAGGGATCTGAATGCGAGTGAAATCAAGAAGAGCAAGAATATCAAAGGAGATTGTTGTAGGGCTAATATTCATGAAAGAAGATTGAAGAAAAGTGGAGACTACGAAGGAAAGGCAAGAATGTCTACAACAGTGGAATGGATGTGTAGTGTGCGGTGGGTGTGCAGTAGTTAGAGGGTGAACCAGCATTTCTTTCCTAAATTGCCTTACAAAGGAAGGCCTTGCAGAATACACAGTACAAATGGGAAAGGCACTCCATAATTCATTTAACTCTGAGAAGAAAGGCACATAAGACTCTCCAACAGTGGTGATGGGGTATAGTTATTCCACATGCTGCTGTGCAAAAGCATTCACAGGCCTCTGTGTGTGTGTGTGTAAATATAAAACATTTTGCTGAGGTTGAGGAACAGGAATAGACTGTGCTAACAGAACCAGAAACATGTCACTGAAGAGGACTGCAGTGGTAGACAAATGTGCAGAACCTGAAGAGGGGAACCAGGATCGTCTGTGCTATCAAGAAGTACTGGGAGAGATCTGCTTGAATATGTGACAGCTACCTGCAGATGGGTGAAAGCTTTTGCCGCAGATGGGTGAAAGCTTTTGCCACAGATGTCATCTGAAGACTAGGATGGTGTCACTCTCAGTTACCACCTTCTCCTCCAGACAGATCTGCAGCCCACGTGGCTTTGAAGGCAGCACTCGGTTTGTAGTGCTGAAGATCACAGCAACATTGAACATCCTAGTCATTGGCTGTTTTCAAATTATAAGAAAGGACATTTGTGATATATCCCCAATAGTGCATTCATGAGTTCACTGGCTTTTACAGGAAAGAAATACAGTTTGTTTAGTTTACCAAATATCCAGAGAATCGAGGTTCCAAAATCTTAAGATTGTTAGCCATCGCTGGACTCCCTCAGTACAAATTGGTTATCAACTGCATGCATAAGGCCCTCTTAACTCCACTGCATCATCCAGCAAAGTTCCTGAATAGGAAGGTACTTCACTCCCTAACGACCAGCCAATTCGTAACCACAGCCAACACTTCCTGCAGATGTATGCTTGCTGTCCAGGGAGCTGTCATGACATGCATGTTCTGCACTGATTCCTCGAATTTATTTTTTTCCTCCATATACTTCCAGGGCTAGCTCATAGGTGATCAGGGATAGCTGCAGAGAGCATGGTTAATTAACCCCAGGGAGTGACTTAGAGGGGCAGATGGTGCAGCCACTACCGCCTCAGGCAAGGAAGAACAGGAGTCTGGAGGTGCTGAGGGAGCAGATGCTGATGTTTACCATGCTGAAGAGGCCACGACAGTGCTGAGCTGAGGCAGGCAGGCGCAGGAAAAGCTACTAGTGACTAGTTCTGAGGGTGTATATGTTTGCTATAAAATAGAAGAATCGCAACTATGAACCAATTATGGTGCAGATACATTCTTACCCTTGAGGGAATGCTTGCTTTAAACTTTGTAAAACGTGCACAATGAATGGTAAACAAAATACATGTTAATTCATTCCCAAAAAGCTGATGTTTTCTGGCAAGTGCATCATTATGGAGTTTTGAAAGGTTATGTAGCATTTGTAATTTTATGACTGAAACCTTTGTTTGCAAGGGACACTTGGAGCTGTAGATGTCTAAACTATCTTGATTGACTTGCAGGACCCCGAACATGTGTCTTGCATTCCCACTTTCTAGAGGGTAGCAAAGAATGACAGTGTCAGCACTCTTTGCACTGTACCACATGAAGTATGTATGCTGATCAGTACTCCTCAAGGTTGTCCATAAGGAAAACCTAAATAGTCAGAATCTCAACCAATTGAAACCGATCACAAGTCTTTTTGACAAAGTGCTGTATTTATGTCAGGTATCAGGTCATACGAACAGTTTACACTGCGTGCATGTGACATCATTGTTGTTGAGTCTTTCTTTTCATGCTGCTATGTCATCGTGCCACATCAGTTGAGCTTGAGGATATGTGCTGACTGCTTTGCCAGCTTGCTTCTAATGACTTTAGGCATACTGTGGTGATCTAGGAGCTAGAGGGCTCTTGCCTGTTTAGGGCCTCCTCCACAATACAGAGCAATCTCTCTGGCTTGACCTGGATGGAGGCATTTGGTCACTGGCAAAAGGAATTTGGTGTGGAAGAACACCTCAATTAGCCCCTAAAGTTATGCAACCATCTAACTTGGTCATGATTAGTAAA